CGGTGCTATCGAACCAAATCCTCTCGTGACCCGTTCGTGCTTCCGGTGACCCATTTGGACGGACGGGTCGTCGGACAGGTCGACCGCGCGTCGCTTCGACGAAGCATGCAGTTCCATTCAAGCTGACAATGATCTGTCCTGAACATGGAGCAATGGACCGTAATGGACAGACTGCATGCTTCGTCAGGACCGACTGCAGTTGCACGGGCAAGCTAAGGAATGGTCCTGACAAAGATCTGTCCTGTCCATGTCCATTCTAGCTGACCGTAATGGACCCCCATTCAGACTGCAGTTGCAGGGGCAAGCAGTCCGGCTCAAAAAGATGTTCTTCTGGGTTCGGGGAGCGTTCAGCTGGAAGTAAGAGCTCAACACAAGATCACCTTCATGGTGTTCTTTTCTTGGAGATGTGTCAGGTCGGTCGTGAAAAATGAGAAGGTGGCACATGGTGGAGCATCATCCTTAAATGTTGCTATCCCAAGGACCCCCAAAAGTGTTGCCTTGCAATTGCAACTAGGGATCCCGAAACCGCTTCGAAAAGCAGATGAAGTTTCAGCTTCTTGGGGCCGCAATGTGCGAACCCTGTGACTCACCAATCTGGCTCACACCCGGCACCATGATTTATATCACCCCGGAATCACACTTTGTTTGAGCAATCCCCAAATTTCTTCACCACAACAGTTCTCCGTTCAACATGGGGTGTTTCTGAGCCGACTCTCCCTGGCCTGCCTGGCCTGCTCCAGTTCCCCAGTCTGTATAGCTTCATGGAGTCCATGTCTCTTAAGGACCACTTAATATGTTTGGAGAAACACACCACCATGCTTTGCAGAAAGAAGCAACACTTCCAGGTGTGGCATGTGCCTAAGTGTGTGTGTGTTTGTGTGTTTTTGTGTGTGTGTCCTGTTTTTTTTCCGAGAAACACCTTCTCTCCGAAGAAGCAATCACCCTGGACGCACTTGGCCGCTTCGGGATGGTCCAGATTCCTATGAACGATGGCGTTTCGCCGCTGCTGAAACGCACGCGTTCGGCGTGGCGCATCGACAGCGTCGACCCATCGGTGCCCGAGACCGTCGAAATGTGTCGAAATGAGTCGAACTGTTTGTTTTTTGAAGTTCTTCCTTTAGCACAAAGTATTGGTATCATCTCACAGGATTATTGTCTGGTATTTGCCGTTGCCGTAGATATTATATTATACAGATATCAAACTAGTTCATCACCCTTGTGGGAAAACCGTAGATGGTCTCATGGCTTCAGACAGTGTGTCTAAAGGACAGATACCCAGCCTGGACTCCTACCGAGAGGAACCCCTAGTGTTACTTCCAACCTGGAAAACTGGTACCTGCCTTGGGCCACACGTTTGGATCCAACTGGGCCCAAGCAAAGCTTTAATTACAGTGGTTTCAGAGTAGATGGCACAAGCCCAAAGGTGTCTTGTATATGGGGTCCTTCTAAGCCTTCTACACCACCTTGTGGAAATTGAGCCATCTATATAATCTGAAACCACTGTACTTTTGTTAGGGGCGTTTGTTTGCACCTGGCCGTGTAAACCATCATGAAATATGGATGAGCCTGTCTTGAGCGATTTTTTCACCACTATGCTGATTCAACTCAACTATGTCTCGGAGTTTCTCTCTGAATGACTAAATTTTCTTTGATGATCTCCTATCCAACATACTGGCTTGGCCTAGATCAACAAATCAGCTCTGCTGCAACAATTCTGAGGGGGACTGTCGTCGAGGTGGGGGGGGGTGTGGACGGTTTGCGGGAGTGACGGGATATCGGTGGACCTGTCATGTGTCCTAGTGCGTAAATCCATGTAAATTCACACTCACACCAACCGATAGACATGTATCTCTGAAACCAATGCGCAAACATGTTGGGCTCGTTCACCACCAAGCTGTTGAAACATTGGGCATTACGACCGAAGCCTTCTGCTTGGTCATTCTGTGCGACGGAGCTCCAGCACTAGCAGTTTGTATGCGAATTACTGTAAACATCTATAGTGCTGGACAGTGGCACATGCATGTAGCAATTTCAGCTAGTAAAGCATGCTGTCATCAGGCAACCAGGCCACAGATGGTCGTCTTTTAACAACCGGCGGTCCCACCATCACACAGGGATGTGTTGCGGAAAACTTGAAAAAAGCACAACTGAAATCAGGGTTGCCAACTTGCACATTGCATCTGAAGGTCCCCCCCAAAAGAATATGGTATCCCCTTTCGTCGAAAACCGGCCCCCTCCGTTCGGATTGGACGTCGACCCGGTCGTCGCATCAGGGTCAAGCGTCGTCCCACGGTAGTAGGTGACCGCCGCAGCGGCACATTGCCATGCGGACATTGCCGTCCTGAGGACAGCCGGACTCGCTGTCCGGTCGAAAGAAACTGGGAGGTTGCTGAGGTTGTTCTCCTGAAAGACAAAAGGTAGATCAAGGATGATCAAGGTAGACTCTTATATACATGTACTCCCGGTTTACATAGGGTTTAAGATGGTTTAAGGGTACTCGGGTACTCCGGTACTTATATATGAAGAGGCTGTCCGTGCATCCAAGAGGGTCCGGGGTTAAGAATAGAGTCTTAGGAGATACTCCCGATTCCCATCTCTGGGAGAACATATCAAAGAGGCGCCTCACCAGCAAAACCAGGTCAGGTAGATGCAAAACCAAAGCTAAATGGTCTGCTGCAACCGGCGATGGTCTGCTTCGCCATGCTTGACGAAGACCGTGGTCGACTGGACCGGGGGCCACAGCATGTGCCATGAATTCACCTCCCAGAAACTTCTGTTCATGAGAATTCATGGCCATGGCCCAGCATGAGATCCAAAAAAGGTTGAGTCTGTTCTCATTGAAGAACTCACTGCCTGCTGTGAATCTAAGATTCTACTCGAGCAGCGTTGTTTCGTACCTTTTGGAAGCAGAGTTTCTGGAGGCTTTCATCAGCCGAGTGCGGCTTCTGGAGGTTTTTGCCCACTGCATCTAGTGAAAAGAAAGGATGGTCTTGCCCAACTATGGACCTTCCCCCAGCCGCATGGTTTGCCTTGTGTCCCTCCTTGGGAGACTGGTTAAGACATGTTAAGACCACGAAACAGAGACGCCTTGAAAGGATCACGTCCGTCCCTCTACCCGTCTACCCGTCATTTCCCGATGTCTGGGGCTGGGGAGAAAGCTCGCTCCGTCCGGCGCGGTCGCTCAGCGTACAGCTGAGCCGTTGGATCTCGCCGAGATCGGGACACACACCACGCGGGACATCCCGCGTCGGGTCTCTCCCGGTTGTTCGGGTCGTTCCTTGACGCGAGTTGCAGCTCCCCAGCTCCCCGGGATGGGTCGGTTCTCTTAAACCGAGCCAGACATCCCAAACGAAAAAGGGGAACCGAACGAACCCCAAAACGTTCCATCTGTTTGTAGCTGTAGTGGGGTGCGAACCCTTTTTTCCATACTTTTCCTGGGTATAGGTAGTGATGACATCGAGTGACACAGACCCAGCGAAGGTCAGCATGGTATCGTTCAGCATCCTGTCTGCCGACTGTCGGATACTGGAGGAGGGATCGCCAGACTTACAGACCATCCATGGGATTGAACAGAGCAAGGCGCCATGCGTTTACCCAATGTTTGTATACCTAGAACCTGATTGACCCCTGTTTTGGAGCCAGAACATGGTCTTTTCCTATCAAAACAAAGGTCACATGGGTTCTAGGTATAAATGACAAATACTTACGTACATGTAGTAGGTAGTCCCATTCATTTGTCGGGTCTCAAGACGCAACTCTGGATGGCACAATCCCGTTCCCTGAAGTAATCATGGACGTGGATGGCACCACCTGTTTGGCATTCGGATCTCATGGTCATCCGAACTCATGCCATCCACGTTGGCCCATGATTCTGGGAGTGTACAGCTAGAAGCAAATCCAGCATAACGACCGAACCATGTCTTTCACCTGCAACATACGACTGTGGAGATCTTGTAAAGATCTGGCTTTCAGCAGTTCAACCACGTGTTCACCTGAACCTTTTGTGGGCTCTGCAAATGACAGAAAAAAGTATATTAATAGTGACTCAGCCACCGGCTGGGTCGGGTCCCTACCCAAGACTGGAGCGTCTCCCCTGGATGGACTCCCCTCACAACAGCCAGGTGTGCAGCAGAACCTGGAGAAAGAAACCTCTGACCCTTGGGACTCGAGTCGCCATGGTGTTTGATCCGTCCACCTGAATTCCAATCTTGGGCTGGACTCTTTTTGGGCAAACTAGAGATCTTGGGTTCGGGATCTTTGGAGGCCACTCATAGCTAGTGCTGTTCGAGGTACTCTTCGGACGTCGGCCGCCTCTTCTACGAGAGAAATCTATGCAAAATAATACCACGATGCTGACAGCTGCGGATTTGGGCCAAAGTGAATCTCGCTGGCCAGATGACACATCCCAGACCATGGGACTGGAAGAGTTACCATACATGGGTCATTTAGGTGCAGTCAATGTGTGACTATTCCAGTCCTATGGATGGTCTGGGCATAGTTGAAAATGTACAGGACTGACCGCCTGAGGAGAACAACTATGCCAAGAGCGTCTGTTTCATTCCATGATGACGCTTTGTCATTGCAGCATGAACTGGTCCCAGGCTCTTATAGCAGCAGTCCCAGCAGAAACCATGCCCCCAGAAACATGCCCTCCCAGACACCGCCGTCCCAAAAGCTACACAGCCTCGTCCCCACATCCTGCCCCTGCCCGGTCTGGACGTTCGTATGGTGCTTTTGGGGGACCGTCTTCCACCCCGGTCGCGTGCAGGCGAGGGAGTCGGAGACCATCGACGGCCTCTTGAGGCGCCATGTGTTGGATCCAGAGGTCAATCAGGTTTTGATACCAGGACCCCCAGTCGGGGTGGTTAATGGACACCCCGAATCACAGCTTTTTGGGGCTATAAATAGACACCCCGGCAGGAGGGTCCTGGTACAGTATGTGTTTATACATGTTCTCCAAAATCGCTCGTCTTCCTCCTCCCTCTGACCTTCCACCCCGCCTACCCGGCGGCTCACCGGCGGGGTCTCAGCAGCAGTCCACAGGGACGGTGAAGTGTTTGGAGGGCTTTGGAGGGCTGAAGGAGACTGAAGGACGGTAGTTGGTTCTTGGGATACTGCTTGGTTGGTTGCTGTGGGGTGGGCTGGTGGGCTTTAGCTTGGTGTGGGGTCCGAAAGTCTCTACTTCTTGGGCGTTTTGGGCGTGGAGTGTGCTGGCGCGAGCGCACAGGCAGACCAACAGGGCGGGCAGATCAGCACCATTTCGTAGGGAATACAGTTGATATGGTTTGATTTTGGAGTTCGGTTGACAGTCCCAGCTCGAATTACCCTTCTGCATGACAAATATCTCATCTCAGCAAAATGCAGATGTGACTCTCGTCAGGTCGCAAGGTCTTAGCCCAAACTGCCAAAACCCGAGGCATTTAACCCGAGGTTTTCCATCATAAACGAGGGACTGTTGTGCGGAGGGACTGTTTGGATTGCTTTGAGGTGTGTGCTTTGCCCCAGGCAGTCATCTCGAGGAACCCGATGTAGAAAACCCAGCTTCTGGGCATATCACACTGAGTAACCAGTTTCATCCTGTCACACAGCCCAGCTTGCAGGCAAACATATTGAACAATTGAACAAAAAATCTGACCCCACACCGCTCCGGAGCTTTTCTTGATCCAAATCCCTAGAGGCTGAATCCGTCGCTCAAGTGGCTGTCAAGGACCTTCGTGAAGAGCCTCCCGTCCGCGACGCGCGCGACGTGACCGACGAAAGGCGCGACGAGCAAACCGCCCGCGACGCGGGTGGCTGGGTCGTGCGGGCGAGGCGGAATCGATCCTCGGGGACGTGATCTCACCCACGGACCGTGGAGAAAACGTGGGTTTGTTTTGCACCTGACCAGAAGGATACCAGGAAAGATCCATTTGGGGGGTCTTATCCAACACCACAAGCCGTTTGTAACAGGACCGCCAAACAAGGAAACCTGTGTGCGTAACAGGGGGTGATCCAATATGGTCCAATGCTGGGAGGGTTTCCTCTGAAACATTGGATGGTTCCTGCGCCATCCTACTGATTTGATGCAGTTCCAGCCGCTTTGGGTGGCAGTTTGGCCGTTGGTGGCTGCCTCTGGGTGGCAGGTGTTGCAGGCAGGTTCAACGCCAAAACGATCGAGGGGGGCAAGAATGTGGAATCATTCAAGCACAGAACATGATCAATTGGTGGCTACCCGGGAGCATGGGTTGCAAACCAAGCCGCCCCAAATCCAAACCCAAAGGTTCGACGAACATCTGAAAGCTTCGACATGTTGCCCAAACCACCGCTGATCTCCAGAACTTAATTGATTTAGGTTACGAACATCTGTGACCTTCAGAACGTTTGAACTCATCTCGTGATCTTCTTGGGATCGTGGACCCCCTGACCTTCCAGTGACCCCTTGCCGTCCAAAAGCGCAGAAAACAGACCGTAGTCACTTGCTTCGCCCCCCTGTTTAAGAGGGAACACGTCCGGGAAAACCCATGGATTCAAAGCATTTTGGCAGGCGCATATTGGCCGGCTGGCTAGATCTCCTGTTCCTCGCTCTGTCCGAGTCATACGTCTTTCGCCTCGTCCCATCGAGGAGTCCGGCGGGCGGCGCGTCCTCACAGGGTGGCACCGCGGTTCTTTCTGGCTTCCAAGCAGCGCTCGCTCTCCAACTGTGTACCAACTGACTCTCCTGATGAGGCTTCCCCGGGAAATTCCATGTGGTTGGTTGAAGATAATTGGAGGATCCGACTTAAGATTCCAATTGGTAAGGAAAAGATGACAGACTCGTGTGAAGCCGTTGGCAACAATTTTTGGGGCGCAAATGTACAGCGACTGCCAACTCGGCTGATGGGTGCCAATCCCAGCACCTACCTGGTCTCAACAGGTCTCGAAAACCATCATGGGTAGGCACTTCAGAACCTTTGAGATGAAAGTCCTGTCGTGGATCCTTCATCTTCAGATCCCTGTCCTGGTGGGGTAGGCGGGGCAGCTGTGAGACGGAGGATCCTCCTGGGCCGTGAAACTGGCTCCTGGCGCCGAGCCGTGGCGCGGGCGACACGTCGGCGACAGGTCTGGTCCCAACCTCCATGGGACTGGAAGATATGCCTACCTGGAGTCCAGCCAGGTGGCTTGGGTCCTAGTCACCACCCCTTTTCCATCAACCATCCGAATCCAATTATGCGGATCGGCGACCGTCCCATTCGTCGTCGTGGCCCAGAGGCTCGGACTCTTCGACTTGAGGGTCCTGGAGGTGGGGGCCATGCAGAATCGGGCCATACACCATCCCCCCAATTCCGCCGCCGACACAGGTCAATCCCTCGCAATGAGATGGTCATGTTTCCTTAATTCATGGTGAAACCGGTCGTCTGATGCCGCTTGAAGCTAACATCCCCCAATCCCTATAGAGAGAGACTCTTCACATCTCTTCACGTCACGTCACTGTGACGTCCCGTCCGAGTCCAACCATAGCTCGACCCACGTCTTCGCCTTCGTCCATGTTGCTGGGCTGCGCCGTGGTGCCCACGCTCGTCACACGCACCACCTCAACCGCCGCGCCCCGCCGCGCCGCGCCATGGGAGGACCCAACGACCGGTGCGACCAGGGGCTCACTGGACCCTTCGACCTCCAGAGACGTCCAGCGACGATGATACCAAACATGTAGGCATCTTGAGTGAGGAAAACCCCCCCTCTACGGGCAGAGGTGTTACAAACTGGTGGGCTTTTACGAATCAAGGCGGTCTACATGTCGCATCTCTCTCCATCTCTGTCACCTCTCGGTGTCTTCGGCTCCGCCTGTGGCGCCTGTGGCGCCGATCTGTGTCGGCTCCGATCGCACCGAACCGGCCCAAAGCCGCGCTGGAACGTGGCAACGACCGGCGGACTCGTCGCGACTCGTTGCGACGAGGCAAAAACCGGCTCTTTCAGATCTCTTACGGCTCCCTTCCACTTCGTGGGTCAACAAATGCATCTTTCGAAAGCCCAAGTCACGTCAGTTGCGTGTGGCATGTTCATGTTCTACCGCAGGTTTCCAGAAGAAGTAGCAAAACGATGCAAAACGGTGGACCCCAATGGGTAAGTTGGGTGAGCATCCTGTCCATTCCCTTCTGTCGGGGTCATTTGGACACCTCTCGAGAAATGGAAAGCACCCCAGCAAACAGGTAGCACTATTCGAGCGAGCGAGCGCGTGAGAGAGAGAGAGAGAGAGTGGAGTGCTTCCTTCCAAAGTTGAACATCTGTCAGACCAAGCAAAACTGTGTGGGCCCACGCCAAAGTGGGAAAACGTATCTATTGGATGAGTACATATATATATATATATATGTAAGTGTACCCATCCCAAAAATATCCAAAAATTGTGGTAACGCCTTCCCTACTGTCAAGGGCGGCGAACATGGCAGTGCAAGATAATATGGTTGCACCTAAGGTCATCTTGACGAATGACCTTGCCATAACGATGTCTTGGCGGTCCTTGTAACACTCCGACAAACGCCCCGGTCGAGTCGAGTCGAGTCTCCAGGCGTCCGTGTCTCGCACTCCGAGGCGCATTTTTGATGCCCACCCATCCTTCCACACAACGCCCGGCAGCGTCCTCCGCCACCACCTGCGACGGCGCACGGAAACCGGGAAACCCGTGCGCTTTTGGAGCGACCTCTCCTAAAGGATGGAACCGACGCGACGAAGAATGAAGCGCTACCACGGGTTGTTTGCATGCCTCCTAGATGGTGCATCCTCAGCCACTGCCGAGGTGGTTTTCCTTCGTTCCACGAAGAGTCTGGCTGTGCACCAGAGGAATAAAATGCTAAACATTACCATGAGGAACTGGGCGACCTGGTCATCACCACCGTAGCCCTACTAGTGAGTGGAAAACAACATGTCTCGATTCGGATCGAAGTATCGACGTGGCGCCGCGTCCGCCTGTGGACCCGTTCCCACGACGGGTGGCTCGGTTGCTAACTCAGGAGGTACCCAACTGAGGCACGACGTGCTGGTGGCGCCCGCTGGGTGGTTGCTTCCTTCAGAAGTGGATCATTAAAACTGTTTGGTGAATGGAGATGCGAGTCAAACAAGTGATCATTTTGGGGCGGTCTTCTGCTGAATATGTTATATTATATTATACCAGTTATATCATTTTCGGCACATGATTGAATGACTTGGTCGCCCAAATACTTAATTATCACATTATCAAAACACACTTCGTAGAAGAAGCTGGCTTTCAGGACAATTTGTGTGGGTCATTGACTTCAAGGATCTATATAACGTCCGTCAGAAATTCCTGGAAGTGGAACTGTTTGCCCGAGTGAAGACCATGTTCGAACCACATCAGGTCAATCATGAACTTCTTCCCAAAAGTTTGCCTGCCAAACATCTGGAACTCCTCGAAAGGACCCCCTTGTCAGGTGCAGTGTTTTTTTTAGCATGCCACCACCAGGAGGCGTGCAGTCGTTCAGGCAATGATGGTTCCCTCCGATGGCTACCTCATGGTCCCCAAACAACCGTCTTGAGCCCCAACACATCGGAGATCAACCGAAGAGATGAACACCATGTGGACCAGCGGCACAAGTTCAGTTCAGCTGGGAAGAAGACGTCAAGACCCGACATTCCATGTCCCACCCTGAAGCAGTCCTGGCTTCACTGCCCAGAAACAATCTTGTTTGGGTTCCAAAACCATCCTTCTTGGAGGAGGGTGGTGGTGAACGTCATTGTTGACAAAGAGAGAGAGAGAGAGAGATACAGGCAGACAGGCAGGCAGGCAGGCAGACAGACAGACAGACAGACAAACCAAACCAAACCAAACCAAACCAACAAACAAACAAACAGACTGTTTGGTTTGGTCAGTGCTCTCTCGTCAGCGAGACCTACGGCGTTTCTTTGTCTTTGACCCGTTTGGTTCCTGGATTCATCTTATCATCCCAGCGCTTATTCCTCAGGCTGCAGCCTTTTTTGTTTGCCCCGATTCTCTCATATGAGGAGCTTGTGGCTATCCAACTCAAGTATCCTGCCACGAATAGTCTTACAAACAATTCTACTAAGAGGCGCCTGCAGGTTCTTCCTACCGCATGCTCGGATGGTACTTTGTTCAACTGTACTGGAACACCTCCACTTCAACACCTGAGAAAAGTTGTGCTGCTGGTGGTCTGACAAGAACCAGCGCTAGCCGCTAGCGGATGTTTGCGATTACACAACCGGTTGAGCCCACCAACACCTTTAAGGACCCGGCCTCAAACTGATCGTCTTAAACTTGCAAGGTAACATGGACTTTGACATGAAACCAGAAACCAAACATGTCAAAAAATGAACGAAAACGCCACTGGTCTGGCCAATGAGTGAACACTGGCAAAACCACACACACAGACAGTCAGAGGTCCATTTTTCGACTCTTGGAGAACCCTGAAAAGCAAAGCCAACCCAAAAAGGCTGGTCGAACCGCACGCTGTTAAAGTTTAAATACCCAGCAAAGGCAAAAATGGTTCATCTACAGAGTCTATAAACTAATTAACGACACTCTACCAGCTTGTGGGTGACCAGCTTCGGAATGGGTCTAAAATCTATCAGGCAGCAGAAAGAGGGTCTTGAATTTGGATTTCACACCCCCTCAGGGACATCGCCGCGGAAAGCGCCTGCGCGAAATCACCCTCGCGCATCAATTGCCAAGCACCTCAGTGAGTGAAACGTCCGTGATGGAGAATCTGCTAAAGGGCCCTAAGTACTTAGGGATTCAGTACACTGAATCCCGAATAGTGAGTGAACCTCAGTGCTTACGTGTGACTAGTGCGGAGGAACACCTAATCTCAAGCCAAAATATGCCCGCACCCCTGAAGGTGCTGGTTGGGGCAGGCTTATGAGGGCCGTGATGGTGTTGGGGCGCCTCCCCCCTGTCCAGCTCCCCAACAAACGCCTCCCCACCTGATCACGGACATCTGAGCTTCCCCACTGGACCGGGAGGGAATTTCACCCACCTGGCCATCACGCACAAGCGTGGACGAACACCGAGGCCTCGTGTTCGGGTTTGGCACAGCGAGGTGAGAATCAAATAGATCGACCTGGAAAAGACCTGATGTAGATCAATCTGGTAACATTTGATGCCAAGAGGCTGAGTTGAAAAAAAATGAACACGGGTAATATGACAAAGACACTCCATATGTGCTATATGTGCCTACATTGGGGTGGTTGAAAAGGGGGTCAGAGTCAATGTCTATATTCCATACACATGGAGTGTTTGAGTGAGATGAGTCCCTGTGCGACGACTCTTGTCACACTCATGTAGACTGAGATGAGAACCCAGCACCCGAATTGGAATTGAGAAGCCTCTTCTACCTCCCAGGTTTCTACAAACAGCTTCGCTTCGCCCTCGCCACTGCCGCCAGCTTCCACTGGAAGGCAAGGGAAGGCATGTCCAAATGTACAACCTCTTCATACCAGGACCCTCCTGTCGGGGTGTCTATTTATAGCCCCAAAAAGCTGTTAAGTAAGGGGTGTCCATGAACCACTCCTTGGGGGTCCTGGTATGGGATGGATGATTCATCTAAAAGTCCAACCTGTTGGTCCGACACGTCGAGTCCCGAGTCCCCTTTCCTTCGGCACCCGGGTCACGTCAGACGGTGCACAGTCGACATGTTGGACTAGTCGAACCTATCTCCCCTCATCTCCCATTCCCTGCGGATGCTGCTCCGCCACGCTCCCCAAACGGAACCCCAACCGGAAAGGAAGCGCTTCGTCACCTGCTCTGTTGGTGGCTTCACCCCAACCGAGGTCCCCCACGGTCTGCCGCCCAGCGCTGTCGTTCGGCTGATCAAAGACGCGGACCGCCGGGTGACCCTCCTTTTGTCGCAGCTCCACCTGGCGAGGCAATGGAAGATCCATTGGACGGGTGGATTCAACTCACTCGCAAACATCTATTTGTCAGGTGGGCTCAAAAAGTCCAAGTTAAACGTTGAAAACTGACCAAACAATATTACAGTATATTAATATATATATATAAGATACTGAAAGCACCATCTTGGTCAATCAATTGATATCAATTGGATGTGGGACATGCCTGGCGAAGAGAATCTGCACATGTCGAAAACAAGGGGCTGCAGCTCTCTTTGGGTGAAAGGCCCGGACAGGCTGAGAGAAGCAGTCCATTTTGAATGGAGTCCCCACATTGATCCAAAGAAGTAAGCGTTCGAATAGCAAACTGAAAGCCCATGGCTTTATGAATGGAGTCCCTATCCATCCAGGTCCTTGATGTGAATGCTTTAGCTGCTTTGGTATGCTTGGCCAACCTTTTTGGATGAATCTGGGGCCTCGAGCCATGGAGCGACGGTCTCGGGTCCAGTCCTCGCTCTTCTGCATTTCTGATGATCGCTGGACCGCTGGCAGCTCTGGATGTGGCAGCGGCTGAACCCTTCTCTCTCTAGTAGTGGTTGCAGTGCAAGCCACGCTTGCTGATTTGGCGCTCTGTCGGCACGGACCCCGCTGGGGGCGCACTGCTCTGCTGACATGCAAACTGCTGAAGGTACCTACTATATAATATATCAAAAAATACACTCCTGCTGAAAACCACTGGGTGGTAGAGAAAAAGAGTCTTCCAAAGGTCCACGTAGGCTGGAGAGAAACATACCCTTCACTACAGTGGGACCAATGTTTCACCGAACCCCAAGACATAGGCCGTGTAAGCATGTTCAAACAAACCAGAGAGAGAGAGAGAGAGGGAGAGCGCCCCCTCCTATAGAGCCCAAATCCTATTTGGTGTGGGGTGTTTGGGAGGGATAAGGTGAACACCAAGTACAAGGCATGCACGTGAAAACTGGCCGCTACTCCGGAGCAGAACGGGGCAATTGGAGCGGAAACCACTGGAGCAGTCCTGCCTGCAAGACCCGCAGCGGTCCATGATGGTACAGCAACGCAGCACGCAAGCCTCGAAACTTCCGTGATTTGGAACATCGCATGGTTAATCGGCATGTAAACCCAAACGCTCCATGAGACTGCCATAGATGCCTATATACATGGGGGTGGTTTGGTAGGTCCATGTAACATGTAGGCATATATTCCAGTCCCATGGAGTCTAGGAAACACTCTCAAATCAACACGTTGTCGTGGTGAGCACCTCCCGTCTTTGTGCAACGAACCACCGCGAACGCGAACGTCGCCTCGTCGCACCCCAAAACGAACTCCCGGTGGCTTCAGCACCTGCTCCGTCGCGTCATTTAGGCTCCGCCATGGCACCAGGAAACCGATTGGTTGACTTACCTTCTTACATGGTGTTGGTCCTGAGCTCGCGGCAAGTGGTGGACCAGGACCAAACCTACCAGGTTTTCAGAATCCATCCCATCATCTCCCATTCCCTCCAGTGGATGCTCCACACCCCCAAACGGAACCCAAACGGAAATGCGGGTGTTCTGCTCCGCTGTGCACCTTCAGCACCTGCTCCGTTGCGGCCGGGCGGCCGACTTCCCCGAAGGGATCCCAGCGCTGGAGCTCCGTGAGACGCATCCGCCTGTGGAGCGCTGGGGAGGGAGAGCGATCATGACTGGTAGGAGTCACAGTGACAGCTATAGGCGGGTGGCGGAAGGAACGGGTGTGGAACTGACAGCAGAAAAGCCCTCAAAGGCGGGTGTTCAACTGGGGGAGATATGTGGTTTCACATGGACATGGACACATGGGCTGTATATATAATCTGTATTTTGTCTGGCTTGGGCGGCATGTATCACATCTTGTCGAGTGGTATGTGTTCGGGCGGGGTGGATGGTGTGTTTCGGCCAAAACAGCCCGACCCGTCTCTCACGCCCGATAGGGGACCGATGTTGACCTGCCATCCACGGGCGGTCGTTCTGATGCCAACACGGATTTCCCAGGGCGTGAGTGCCCAAAGATGGGGTATGTGCACCTGGAATGTCGGCATGTTTCCAACCATGTAACCAGTGTGTTCAAACCATTTGGCTGTGGGGTCATGGCACCCGTAGACCCAAACCCTGGTAGGTGGACCTCCTGTAGGTCGTCCATTCTGGTCAACCCAGGTGGCCCGGTGCCAAGACCCACGTCCCCTTCCTGCCAGGTGCTGAGCACCCCAGCCCCCAGCTGTCGCCAGCCAGGCCACGCCTGGGCTGCACAAATCCGAAACCAGAACTTCCAATGACTGATACCCCAACCGGGGTAGGAAAATGATCCACCACCCAGTTAGGGGTTTCTATATGTTTCTATGACATCAGGACTGGACTTCACCAAGAAAGCCATGGAAAAGGCAGCCGAAAGCTGGTTGGAATCGGAAAGAACCTGGCCTGCTCAGCAACGAGAAGACTTGGCCGATGCACTCAGCTCTCTCGACACGAGTCGGCCACTCAGGCGCATGCTTCACGGGGCGGGGACTCCACGCAGGGCTGCGAGGTGGGAAACCCCGATTGAAGGCAAAGCAAATTGAAACACACTACCGGCTGTCGTGAAAAAGAGACCATAATGGCACCCAACTTCCGGCGTTGAGGAACTGACTCAAACTGCAAAGAAAAGCCCCATCTCGGCGGTTTTGGTGAAAGTATTCTTTCCATCGAAAGAAAGCGAATGCGACGCATTTTCCAAGCAGCAGGGCAACGAGAACGAGCTCATGCACCAAAAGGTTTGAGTCCCTCTCAGGCAACTTGCAGCAAAACCTATTCATTCGGCTCACGACATTGACATGTTTGGACGCGATCGCCTGATCATGTCTGATGCACTTTGTTGAAAAACAATAACCACTTTTATACAACTCCAAGGGCACGCCCTTGGGCGTACGGCGTACAACTCTTGATCATGCCTGATCAGCTGGGGTACGCCCTTTGTCAAACTCCAACTCCGCACGCCCAGCTGGAAGAGCTACTCACATCCTGCGGCCGCAGTGGCACCCGGCCCATCACCGGCATCGCCCATCAGTTCCAAGCGCATCCGGGTGTTCGTCAATGACACCTGAAGCATGCCAGTTCGCACCTGAAGCATGCCAGTTCGCGTCGTGATCCTCCAAGAACATATGATTCATCATCTTTCATTGCTTTTAGCTCAAAGCAGCTGGCCGCTTGACCACCGCCCGACCCTCAGCGGACCGGCGGACGGTCCGATGCTCGGAGATCGGACATCTGCGCGCGTGCTCGCAGGGGTCCACAGCAGTGCCCCGGGACATGTCCTTCTTTTCTGGTCCTAGGTCCTAGTTGGTTTCTCGTTTGAAAATTCTGTATCAGTGGGTTCAATCATCCCAAGCAGAGGTGAAAAATAAACATATCTAAAGCACCACCCAGTGATGGTGCAAAGGACTTTCTGTTCGTCCTACGCGGTGCACCCCACAAAACACGCGGTCGCGGTCGTCCACATTCCCGGCCGCATAAAGACAGTCTCTCTAGCAATAAGAGGGTGGATAATAACATAGACAGAATATATATATATATATACATATATGTATATTATATGTGTAGAACATCCGAGAACCTATTTGACCTCTTTTTTCGATAGGAAAAGGCCATGCTTTGGATAATAGTTGATCCTCCAAAACAGGGGTCACTGAGGTATTAGGTATACATAATAATTCGTAATGATGATTATGATAATAACTTTTATAGTACTTATAGTAACATTTGTTTTAAAATATATACGGATACAGATACAGTACTAAAGTAACTTCATGAATCCATCGCCAGGTTGTTTGGACTTCTTTGGAACTGCGAGCAACTGTTTGGCAACTCAAAAGACTTCTCGCTGGGAAAACATTCACAAAACTACTGAAGCGGGGTCTACGATATATACGGTTTAAGTTTAAAAGAAGAAATCCAGGAAAAACACGTTAGCCGCTTGCTGCAGTTCTTCGTTTGTCCAAGTCCCGGCAGAGGTCTTTAACAGTAGGAGCCCTAGCCTGGTTGTGACACAGCTCCAAGCCCGCATCATCCAATCCCGTGATGACAAGCTCAAACCTTCCTGAAAATCTTCCCAGCACTTCAGCCCTTTCATTTCAGGGAACCTCTTCTTCTAATGAACTCTTGGCCACTGGCCCTGGCCCCCCCCCAACACACCTTTCAAGAAAACCCAACGCCTTCGTACTGGCCTCTTGTTTGATGTTGGATAGGCAGATCCCCCAAGTCCTTTCTTCCACCAAAGCGACCTGACCTGTTCGACCAGCTTGCGCTCTTGGGCGACCCGACCAGCCATACAAAGCTCCAGCCAGTTGGCCACAAATGGCCCCGATGGTGTCGGCCTGGGAGCGGTGACGGCGAAACCTCGACGGAACCGGATGAACCCGGGACCCCATCCCTTTTGAAGCTGCGATGCTAAAAATATGCGACCGGGAAACTTGACCTGGGCGGCGTTTGAAGGGTGACCTTGGCGGTATTTCGGATGTGTTCAACCTGAAATCAAACAATCTTTGATAAAAGCTGCTCAACAGTCTTCGCAGAAAGCTGCTCAACAGTCTTTGCTGGCTCCTGCCCAGTCCCAAGTTCAGCCAACACCCAAGCATAATCGGTCATGGGGAATTCCAAACCCCAGTCTGTCTGTGTCCGCTTCGATTGTCCACTGGGCACGCCCTGAGTGGCAGGTGGCGAACGTCAATGGAGCAAATCCCGGTGATCTTCCAAAGAGGCCCAAAGAATAGGGCGAGCGAAGCAAAGCGTGGCAACATGAATTGCTGCCACAAATTCTCAGGACACTCAAACCCTGGTATGCAAACCCTCCTTCAAACTGTGCCCAAGTGGTGAGTGGCTCTCTCAAACCATGGATCATTTATATACCCACCGTGCCACGTACGTGCCTGAGGCGGTTCAAGGCGCCAAAAAACGGTTCAAGATGTTCAAGGCGCCCAAAAAGTCTGCACTACAGCTTCTGGCATAGATCTTGACCGATCCTTTTCTGCGAACCACCATCTCCATGAGGTGTCTTCAACTCTTTTCCTCCAACCGTCTGCACCAAGAAAAAGACATAAGTATAGCCCATGCCCATGCCCTACCGGTACCCTCCAATACCGGCAGGAATAATCAAGCAATATTCCCAGGTATGGGCTATGACAGCTATGAATAAGACTTAAAGATCTAAAAGGCAAAACCCCAGATACAAACCAAAACCCCAGATACCTCTAACTCCCCATAAGTGTTTGTGCTTCCGAACATCCGGTCGAATGGGCGAGCCACGTCTCCCAGGAGGTTCACCGCCTTCATGATGCTTTCCGAAAAGCCTCGGCAGGGCAGGGCTGATCCGAGGTGTTTAAAGCTCCGGCAGATCGGTTTTAGGGCATGGCCATGGCTGTTTAATCAGGAGTTCTGCGAAAGGTTGGCGAGGTGGTTTTCCCAAAGAAGCCCAAACGCCAAATCCAACCCGCTCAAGCGTTTCACTCGCTCTCCTTCCGCCGCGAGCTACGCGGCGGTCTACCGGCGCATCCTTCGCCGGCAGTTTAGCTGGGAAGGTCGACCGATGCGTTGACCTGTTCGGTTTTCAATGCTGGACGGGGCCCTGGAAGGTCCATGGTCTGCCCCGGTCGACGGGCCAAAAGAGGAACCACCAACGTCCGATGCGAGTGTTCTCTTTTAAACATACGGCAAAGGCACCAAAAAAATGCAACTGCCCCCAAACCATGGAAAGCTGTTGCTGCCTTATGGCATCTTATGGCAGTGCCCTAGGAAAGCGATTTATAAAGAGGAGGTCGAGCTGCCAACGAACAGAGTAAACCACCGACAAATCGACCGTTGTTCGATCGGGCCCGGCCGGTCGCTGGGTGCGACGTGAGGGGAGGCTCCCCAGCCGGTCGGTTCCCCATGTGTCACCAGGAGCCAAGGTCAAAACAAACCTCTAAATCCACGCGAGCTCAGCCTTTGGCTCATGGAAAAACATCGAAGCACACTCGTCCCTTTCATTCCTTCCATCCCTGGGGGATGGCGGACCAGTCATTTCCTTGGGCTGCACATCCATCTTGGGTACATCCCAGTCCCTGTAGCGGATGATGGTTGGGTCACAAGCCTTTCAAATAGTGATATTTGCTTGTTTGCCGACTCTTACAGGTCAGTTCGGACACCCCCAACATCCATCTATGGAGATTTCTTTGCGTTGACAAGGTGTCAGAACATGTTGTTAGATGCTGTTAGTTCGTCCACCAAGTCCACCGGATGCGATTCTCAAGGGGACTCGTCGATTGGCCCTGAAAGGAGGCAAAGACCGTCCGGACCGTCCGAACCTCCGCGAAGCCTCCGACGACCGAAGTGCGGTGTTCTTTTTGCGATTCCGCGACTGTACACTGGCCGCGATGTTCTGTGGTCCTGTCCGCCAAACTCTGGACAAATGCGAATCTCTTGCTGTTTCTAGCCCCTAATCGAAGAATGGGTCCTTCGTTTGTTCAATCATCTTTCTTGTCCTTTTCTATGGCTCCTTCTGCTGGTGCTCGACTCTTGAGCTCAAAAAGGGATCCGCATGATTTTAGAGGCCCCAAGACCTTCTTTTGGGGGTTGGGTTTTGGCCATGACATATTTCGACTGAATGGGTTGTTGGCGTCTCTTGCCTCATATTTTCATGGCCTCCTGCCAGAAAAGGCTGGAGACCTAAGGGAACGTGACACATTGGCCACTAAGCTGGGCGACTTGGCCCCGTGCGAGTCTGACCAACCGAGTCCAGCAGCTTCACGAGCCTTCTGGATCCATCGCGAAAACTCACTCCCTTCGTTGTGGGCGATTTCTTCAGCGCCAAAGAGATTGAACTCGCCCCATGGCCGTCGCCATGTGAGACCCCGCCCTCCGACACGATGGACACCCCCCTAGCTTCACCTCCAAAAAACGGTACCCTCGACCAGTCCCGAGCGGAGCGGAAGAATGGGATCGATCACCCACCACACTCACCTGACCTGCAAACCAAGGTTGTCAGTTTCCAGGAGCCAAGTCCAAGAGTGAAAATCTTCAAAGTTCGCAGGCAAAGCCAAGTTCACTGGTGAAGTGTCTTAAGACAGCACTGCACAGTTTCACGTCCACTCCTGCAACACTTGCTGTGTCGTCACCTGCATTGGTTGTCGTCACTCAGCTTTGCTGCCAAGGAACTCAGCTAGGGTTGGAACAGCTGCCGATCCAAAGCGGGAAAGTGCTGCTTCCCCAGCAAATTATCAAGCAGTGTCGAAATAACCTGCAACTGCACTTAGTGACCCTCAAATCAACGAGTGTCCAATCTCCCTGCAAACAGAATTCTATATAGCACCTTTTCTGGATTATTGCCACCATGCTTGATCTACTCCAAGAGGAACCGATTTCATATCACCACCCTTCAAGAAAGCTCGTGATCTAGCAGGCTCCTGATGTACCCAGCGCTCCACGCAGAACGCGCCAGCTCTTTGTGGCCAACCCTCGGAGGGGACCCCGAGACTCTCGTCTCGGCTCGTTCCTTCACTTAACCACGCGGAATTCAAACTGCACCTGGCCGCGCGAGTCGGCAAGTCGGCCGTTCGGCGGGTCGGAACCGGCCGAACTCGGCGCTGAAAGGGAAGCTTCGCTGAGGTCGACTCTCTATGCGCCAGGCATAAGCGTATGCGCCAGAAAAAGGCAGTTGGTGATCGTTCAACGGTCCGGGGGTCTGAGAATGGTAGCTTTGTAGCACGTGTGTGTGTGTTTTCCACTTCCCAGGGGGTCAGTAAAAACTTGGGAATCAAGGAGAGCCAACTGAAGAAATGCCCAAAGCTTAAAGCGCCACTTCTATCGCAAAGGTCACAGAGTCAAACACTCACAGTTGCAGGACCAACCCCCATCTCCGGCGTTAAGTAAGTCTCGCCCACCTCACTATATAGGCGCTTCATTCTCTATCTACTTGCTGGTAAAGAAATCAACTGGAAAACCAAATCATCATGCTCCTCTAAATGCCCAACCGAACTGCCGACCCGTACGACGCGTCGACGCCGCCGTCTATGCCGGGGGCACCTCGGAGATCGCGGCGGTGTCGCCGGTCTCGCTGCACTCCATCCAGCCGTCGGGGTCACTCAGGTCCACATTCCTTGGCAGGCGTGATCATCGTGGCCGTTCTCGTGGCAGCCGTTCTCGTGTCAAAAGTTCGAAGTGGAAGTGGAAGGAAATTGGGCAACTTCATGGGGAGTGCAAGGTGAAAAAAGGGAGTGGTTCCACATATATTGGTGCGTTGTGTTCTTTCTATGTTCTTTGCTGTCAATGGTTTGGGTGCATTTTGGGCTCTTCCTATTTCCCATTACAGACTACCTTCTTGCCCCACCTTCATATTGGTCAAAAGTGATCCAACAAAGGCCGGCGTTGAAGAGTTGCAAGGCCGGCTGTTCTTCGTCATACCGTTCTGCTGGTGGGAGGATGCGCGGTGGGCCTTGACCCGGGCCCCACCCGACAGATCCTCTCAGTTCTGTCTGAAAAAGACCCGCTACAGATGGTGCTTTGGCACATGTGACCTTTGGTGCGTTAGGTGGAAGATCTTTTGAATAGAATAATAGAAGACAGCCAGGCAGGCTGGCAGACAGACAGGAACTCAAGTAGGGGGCGGGAAGGGAAACCGGGACGCCCTCGACCACAACGGTTCCTCAGACAGGAGTGAATCACAACATGCGACAGAAGCACTTCTATATACATATATATATATATATCAGTGCGGCATGTATATATATATATATATATGTGGTACAGCCTCAGACAAACAAAGTCCTTGCGTTGAAATGTATTGAAAACATACAAAAATTGTAGATCTGGGGGATACCAGATATATACATATATACTAGCATATATATATATATATGCAACCTCTGCTTCATCTTTCTCCTACATCTGAAGCTCAAGCCTGCTTATCTGCACCAATGATTTAAAACAAGGGTCTGGGGAGGGGGGAACACACATATATATATATATTTATTTATTTATATGCAAACATATATATATAATTATATAATATTATATATATATGTTTGCATAGAGAGAAAGAGTGGCTGCTCAAGGCCTTGCAGTTTTCTGAATACCAAGGGCCCTTACGATCCATTGGGCCATACAAATGATGTCTTCATGCAAGTGTTTTTTACATTATTTCAGACAGATGGCACAGACCGGACAGACAGGACAGACCGGACAGACAGGACAAACAGGACAGATAGGCAGGACAGACGGGACAGATAGACAGCCAGGCAGGCAGACAGACAAATAGATAGATAAATGGAAACACAGCTAGATCGGTAGGTCGATAGATCGGTATAATTCGGTATAATCATTCCCTCTTAAGACAGCCTGTGGTGCACGGTCAGTTGGTTGTTACACCAAACACCCAAGTCTGCTCCCCATATGGGCTCCAAGCTGCTCAAAGCGTCCCCAGCTAGTTTCCACCACCAGGCCTCGCAGTGGCCAGAAAACCTCTCCGTTCGCTGGCATTCCCTATAGCTAGCATGGCGATGAACGATTTCTGGCTGAAAACAAGCAGAAAACGATCAAACCAAGCAGAAACTTGGTCCGTTCACCTGGTGGGAGGTCTTCTCCGATCCACCTGAAACGTCGCTCCGACTCCTTCATGGACGGGTGAACTCATGGGGCAGCTGGTCCACTGGTTTCTACCACTTCCAGTCGCACCGGTCCCAGCTGGTCTGGTCCAGCGACCCAGCCGACCCAGGGACCTCAGTCCCTGTCGGTCCCGCCGAGGTGCCAATGGGATACCACTTCACCGGCTCAGCACCGCGGCAGTCGAAGATCGCGACCTCAGGTCGTCGGCAGTCGAAGTCATGGAGAAACGCGTGACGCAGACAGGGCGGCCCTTCAAAGCAGACAGACCCTGAAGAGACACTAAGGAGATTTGGTCACCAGAAAGCCTTTGATGCTTAGAAGAGACCACTAGAAGTGCACATGTTCAAATGAAAACTGCCTCAATGGCATCTGCCTTGACTTCATCTGCAGATGAGAAACTGCAAACGTTGGAAAATAGAAAGAACTCGTTTAAAAAGAAATGCAGAAGAGCTCGACACGGTGTTCGGAACACTGGAATATCTCTATTAAGAGATGAGGCAAAGCGATTTGTTCCAAATGGATTCCTTGGAACGTTGGAGTCTGAAGGAACGTTGCCTTGGCGTTCTCTCTGCCAAGGATCGACTTTGCGGGGTTTGAAGCGACACCGCGGCATCCAGGGGTCTTTGTTACAGGATATTGATGTTCACACCCATCAATTCAAAGTCAGCCATGTAAAGCTCGCAGTCGGTTTTTTTAGTGCAGAAACCAACAA